AGTAAGTATATATATATTTAAAGAATAGTATAAATACATATATAAAAGTACAGCAGAACAGAACCAAAGGCTTTCTGTTATCTGGCTTCACTAACACCAGTAATCATGATAAGTGGTCACAAAAGGTGGCGGTCAACTCTGTAGCCAAGCCAGGTTTGTCTCATGTAGCAATGAGCACATTAAAGATGAGGTGTTTGCTGATTTGACCAATCTCAAACAAGCCTGCTGGCAGCAGAGCGGCTTATTTTACTAACGAAGAGCAAACTATAATAATATCATAGAAATGAAGAATTTAAACACATAATGTATCGATACATCAAGAAATGCTGTGACACAGTTTTGAAAAAGAAACACAGAGAATTCCCAGATCCAGCTTTAAAACACGGTGGGCTGACATAACTTACAGGGAACAGTTGCTGTTGAGGGGTTGCTGGGGATGTTGCTGCTGCTGCTTTGGTTGCTGCTGATACTACTGGAGGTGATCTGTGACTAGAGATATTATAACAAACATAGAAGATATATAAGCTGATGAAACAAATATGTGACCATGATGAGATGTAAAGATTGCTGACAGTATTTAGGACAGAGTCACTATGACTGACCTGCTGTAGCTGCAGCCGCTACCAAGACTGAAAATAAGAGGGAGACGCTCACAGAGCTGCAGGGAGAGGAAATAAGATTCCAGGTTAACAAAAGTGTGGGAAATAATCTGGGAAGGAAACAGTACTGGGAGAAATGACTAGGTTAGCCAAGACAGCAGTAAGAGAGACAAATCTATAGACAGGTGTGTGTGTGTGTGTGTGTGTGTGTGTGTGAGTGTGTGTGTGTGTAGGCAATATTGTGATAATGATTTTATATATTACATTGTGAATCTGAGATATATATTGGATTTTGATTGACTATATGTCTAATCATAAATCTAAAAATATGTGTGTGTTCTTTCTGTCGGCCCATAATAACCATGACAGAGCAGCATTTACCTTCACATTAACATTTCATACCTTTTTCTGAAATCTAATAGGACCATTTCTTCTTCAATGTCAGGAATATTATTTATTTTATATTGACACTGACATTATTACTGTATTTCCAGTTATTTAGTTCATATAATAGGTTTGCTATCTATTCAAATACTGTTCTGATTTAAATGATCGTTTAAGGGCTGATAAGTAATAAAACAGTTTTACCAAAGTTGTTATAATTATTTTAAGGCACACTACGTTTTTAATGAAGTTACTGTAATAATCCTAGTTGAAGTGAAAGGTTTTTAGTCAAATTATATAAAAAATACCAGACCTCACGACGCCCGTGAAACTTTTCTCCCTCAAACAGCAAGAATGAAGTGAACAGAGCAACTTTTGTTTATCTGTGTAGAAGCAACGTTAGCTGTGGGCACAGTGTTAGTCGGCAGCTAAAGTTACTTCTACTGGCGACACGCAGCAATATGCAACTACTGTGCTGCTCTCTTTGCGTCTTTCTTGTAAAATACATCCAACAACCCACAACAAGCACGTTGAGGTAAACCCCTCTGACCGGCGGGATCGCAGGAGTCCTGCAGGCAGAGCTGCTGAAAGGTCATCATGTGGGTCATTTTATTTACTGAGAAATTATTTTTACTAATACTTTGATTCGGCAGGCCTTCACAAAAGGACCTTTACACATTTAAAAATGAATTAATTAATGAAATCTGTCATTGACAAAGGGGCACTTTGGGCATCAAAGGGCAGGTGCTCAAGCACCCATAGCACCCCCCCCTGCACGTGCATGCATACAATACATGATAATACACAAGACAACACACATTACATGCGGTCACATGGTGGGATTTTTTGAGGTGACGTGAGGAAGAGAAATAAAGAGGTGGGGGGGGGGTGCGAGTCAGATAATGAGTCTGTGTTTGTATGAGGCTTCAGACTGACTATGTTGTTAAAAAAAAGTTCAGTTCATTGGCCTTGTCCTAGAGGAGAGATAAACCAGTGCGCAGGAGAAGATACGAAGGCCAGCTGCAAGTTGTTTTCGCGCTCGGGTGGAGGAGGGAAGAGACACTAAGACAATCATTTTTAATCCAATTTAGGTTGATTCGGTAACATTTATCCGGATCAGTGTCCTTCAGTCGCTCTCATCCTCAGCGTCATACGTGCATCCAGTTCATGTAGTGATTTAGATATTTCTTCTAATGTCATTGTCAGACCTGTGGTTACTCTCAGCAGCTCACCAGACTGGACCCCGATGGTGTCGATCCTCCTCTGCGCTTCCACAGACTGAGATGTTAGGAAACAGTTCACCGTTCTGATGTAAAACCTTCCACACGACCAAAGTAGACAGAAAATAGGAGCAAGCCAAGATCAGAGGGGAGAGTAGGAAAAGCACGACTGCTCTCTACAGTAGCAGGAAGAGAACAATGTCAGGTGTTCAGGTGTTACAAACTTTTCACTAAGCTGATCCTCCTTTCTGTGTTATCAGGTGCAGCAAGGTGTACAACAAAGTCCAGGAAGTGGAGCTTGTACTCACTGAAGGTGGAGAAGGACTACAGTTACATCGCAGACCTCCAGAGTGCCATCCTCCTCCTCCTCCTCCTCCTCCTCCTCCTCCTCCTCTCTGACGGTTGTCCACTACTGAGGAGATGCCTAGAAGCAGAACCAGGAGAACCCGATGATCCCCGTCAACATGGGGTTCAGTCAGGTGTTCCTGCCCCAACTGTGTTGCTAGATACAGAAAAATGTACAACAAAAAGTAACATGGTTGGACCTTGTCTCTTCCTGTATATTCTTATTTTTAATGATTTTATTAATGAAGTATCTATTTGTGATAAAGGTTGTAGTTTTAGTAGTATTTAATAACAAGAAACAAGTGTTATAGCACATTTGGATGTTATTATAGGAGACATAGACATAAATGTAGTTGCTTGATTGTTTATGCTGCAGGTGTAAAGAAAAGGCATTTATCATTTTCAATGTTTTATTTCAAAAAGAATGAAAATATCCAGAACAGGCAAAAATATATTTGTATTTTCTCTACCCTCCTGGGAATAAAACAAAAACAAAGTACAGGTATTCATCCACACAGTGGAGGGGATTATTTGTGTGTCAGTTGGTGACATTACATCTTCCACCCTGCTAGGATTAAACTCTGTATTGTCCTGGTGGATCAACAGTTGCATATCTTCCAGAAACAGCAACTCAGTATCACGACTCTGTGACCAAGTGCTCCACACTGCCACACTACAAACTGTCTGTCTGCTGCCTGACTGAACTGTCTGTTACTCTGTCCTGAGATCAGCCTTGTGTGGTGCATGGAAACACTGTAGTCTGGATGTTGTCCACAGTCCTCAGATTCTGGCCTGGTAAGGAATATATAGTTGTTAGAACCCTAAATAGGAAAGATTGGTGTAATTGGAAAGAACATTCATCAACATGATCAGATATTTTTACTGAACAGGGGCTTGTTGTTCTCTAACAGGACTTCTGTGTCCACATTACACAGCAGGTCAATGTACATGACTCAGATGAACCGATGGCTGAAGCAGAGCTGCAGTTAGTTGTTGTAGTCAGTAAACGATAATAAAAAGTAATAACAATAGTGATGGATTACATTTATTTTTGACACCCAAAGGGCTTCGGGGGAAACACCAGAGAAACTCTGAGACAAGCACACTGGGAAATAATGTACTAATATTATAATATTAACACCAATTAACACCAAGGGCAGTGCTGAGGGTGCAACTGGGTGCACACTTGACAAAGAGTTTGTCACAGCCAGCCGTGTTTTTCGTCACTTCCGGCGCCACCGTGCACCTGGAACGCTTTGAGGCAGGAAGTCAAAGATTTCAACTCAGACATTTCACAGTTCCGAGCAGTCTGGAACGAGGCATTAGCACAGCTTCCTGTTGCTAACAGTTAGCAAACCAGCTTGGTACAAAGTTAGTCTTTTAAAACCTGTCCAATAATAACATGCTAGCTTGACAGTGAGTACTAACACCCGGGTTAGTTGTTTAGTTTCATGATAAAGTTTGATGTGAGCAGCTGCACTGCGCTCCTCTCCGCTCGTCACACTCTGCTCGTCCTCCAGCGGTGTCGGCAGCGCGCGTTCACGTGTTTTGGGGGCGTGGCTTTGGAAGGAGCCCATAAGGGAGGGGGTGGGAGTTTCTCTGTCTGATCTGTTGTGACTGTCCCTGTCACACTTTATCATTTCTTATCTAAAAAAGTCTGAAAGCTTTAAGAGCTGTGAGGAAACCTCATTTGGTCAGAAAGTGCAGGATGCCTCCCTGGTAACAGCAGGTTGGCCTTTATGTTCATATAGACAACAGAGATTTGTCAACCAGCAGAGATTTTGTTCAACCTTCATTTGTCAGCTTTTAATTCACTGAGTTGCTCAAAGACAAACATTCACAGTTTGGTCTACAAACTGATTTTTATTGGATTTCCAGAAAATGTACAATTTCATAGAAACTGACATAAACTGTGGTTTAAGATTTTCTCCAGATTACCAAAAACACAACAGCTGCTGCAAAACAACTGCTCTGAATCCCATCCTAAACAGCAGCATGCCTACCACTAAAACAGCAGAAACTTAAAAAGTACAAAGTGCTAAAGACGTGTTGAGATGCTCTCCCTGTGTTAAACATCCAAACAACAGTCCAAATAAAGATTTAGGAAGAAGACAGCGAGGCGGCTAGAATGAGCTCAGTTCATCTAAAATAATATCTGCTTTGCTTCTGGGATTAAAGGAGAATAATGACAGACATCAACTTCCAGCTCCAAACTAATAAAACACATTTTATTTCCATGTGTTGAAGCCATCACAGCGAACCAGAGCAAGTTGACCAAAACATTTCCCAGCAGCCACTTCTCCCACAGCAGAGTCCAAACAGTGCTTCCTGTTCTCTACAGTTAGGTGTCTTATTGGAAATGGTCTCAGTAGATGACAGGATCTGTCTCGTCTCTATCCTTTCTATTGGCCTCCATTTCTCCTCCTGTTTCCTCCCCTTTCTCTCTCTCCCTCTTTCTCTGCCTACATGAAGCTGACTGTGGAAATGTTGTCATCATTCATACTGATGGACTGCTGATATCATTGCTGTCCATTCTGCAGCAACACACAGAGGCCAAAAGCTTGTCTATGGTCCCTTTCCTCATGAAGACATACAGGAACGAGTCTGCAAGAGGATTCAGACTGAGGAAGATGAGAGACAGGAGGTCAATGGTCAGGTCATTGTTTATGTATGATTCTATCAGTAACCAAATGATGTCTGGCAGGAACAGCAGAGTGTAAATAAGCAGCACCAGAACCAAAATTCCCACAATTCGTCGTTTTTCATCAGAGGGGACCGAGATGGAAGCAGACAGGGCTTTGAGGGTCCCAACCAGGAAGAATATTAACAGAGGGAAGGGAAGGAGGAGGAGGACGGCAAAGAGTGTGATTGGGACATCAGTGAAATAGTAAGAGACGATACAGACAGCAGAAAGGACCCAGACCAGGACACAGACCACCACAGAGGTCTTGATGGTTCGTCTGCAGCGGTACCACAGTGGGTGGGCGATGACCAAATACCTGTAATACAAGACGGACACAAAGTCTTTGAGGAGCTTCAGAGTTATAAACTAATATAATGTTCAGACACAGAAGGAGCTCCACACATACTGGATAGACAGATAGATACCTTTCCAGGGAGATGCAGACCATGAAGTAAACACTGGCAAACAGAGCAGAGAGGTAAATAAATATGAAGATATTCTTTATCCTCCAAACCACATTTGGTGCCACCTGAACGATCATGCAGCAGAACTGAAGGATGTCAGTAATGAGGAGGTTGATGAGGTAGATGGGAGCAACATGTTCACTTCTCACCTGCAGGAAAACATTGGTAAAAGTCAACAAGCAGTTGGAAACATGTTGTGAAGTCCACCTCCTCCCAAATCTGTCATCTTGCTCTGCCCAGCAGCTGCAGTCAGAGCCATTTCTGACTTTTTCATCCAACAGAAATCTCAGATATGACCCACTGGCCAATCACTGCAGGAACAAGACTAAGGGCCAGATTTCCTGCAGCTTCTGCAGTTTAACTGGAATGGAGCTACACATGGAAACTGCATGTGTTTAGGGTCCAATCAGCTTCATGGACATTTGAATTCTGGAGTCAATTATTCCTGTCAGGTTATAGATCATTCCAAGCCTTTGTCCCAGCCCCCTGACACCTAGCCCCCAAACCAGATCCAGATCCTTTACAGACAGACAGACTGTAGGACAGACACACCACACAGACAGGAAATAAATAACTCTCAGTCAGAATGTACATACCATAGAATAAAGAGCATAGATGGCCACCAGGGTCAGAGGAAGGCCGACAGCAATGATTATGTATGTGACCACATCTCTGATGAAATAAAGTTCATTGAGCTCGTTGTTATTCTGGTAGTTGGAGGTGATGTTGCTGTAATTCTGGTAGTCAGTGGTGGTGTCGCTGTAATCGTAGCTTTGGTCCTGTGAGCTGCTGTTAATGTAGAGACCTTCCATTCTTCAGAGTGAAACCTGTTGTTTGAGAGATCAGGTTATTACACTGACTGTAACCCGTCTTCGGTTCAGAACTCTCTCCTCCTGAGACTTTTCTTCAACAAAAACTCTTCTGCATCTCAGCTGAAAAACGTCTCTATAAATACCTCTGAGAGGATTAATGTTGGCTCAGAACAATACACAGAATAATAGTAATATTAAGAAGAAGAAGAATGTGTAAGCATGTTCTAGATATCTGGACTCCAGCAGTATACCTTTCTATTTTATAGATTTCATACTTCATTGTTAATGCTCTCTCTCATTTCATCATTTAGTTGAACTGGTTTAACTAACTGGTTTAAGCTCAGTATTCTGTCCACCTCCAGCCCAAAGCTGTTTAATTCGCTCTACATAGAAGAAAAAAGGAATCTGACTAAATGTACCTGTAAAAGCTGCCAGACCCCCTGAATGAGTTCCTCCACCAGATGTTTTGTCCTCTGCAGCCAAAGTTCAAATATGTCCAGTGACAACATGCAGCAGGGTGACGATGATCTACAGCTGCTCTTCTGAGACAAAGGAGTGGCAGGAATATGGAAATGATGCTTCACACAAATAGACACATAGAGAAGGTTGGCAGGACAAAGAACCGTCACACGCCAACATTTATTTGACTAAGAAATGTGCAGTGACCCGCTCACGCTAACTGGCCACAGGGGAGGTGATGGCGCACACGCCTTTGCTGTGAGAGACCGGGGTTCAATTCCCCACTGGGACACGTCCTCCACTGTGTCCCTGAGCGAGACACTTAACCCCTCGTTGCTCCAGAGGCGTGCGATCTCTGTCAGATACAGCAGCTGTGAGTCTCTTTGGATAAACGTCAGCTGAATGAATAAATGTGAAGCTGTCACACCTGTTGATGTTTTCTTCTGCTCTAAAGGATTTAAAATGTATCTTAATAATGATGCTGGTTACGTTTCATAAACAGCTCCCTGCTGACACAGAAGCGTGTTCTTTAGTGCTGATGAGAGGTGATTACTGCAGCCGCTTAATCAAGACTTCAGATCGAGATTGAGGTACAGGAGCTTTGTTCTGGGACGCTGTCTTCTGGCCCTTTGGGGCGGAGGTATCTTCATTCACAGAATCTGCTCATTTACACATGAAGGTGAATCAGGAGAAACTGCAGGCCGACACATTCACTGCGTCTAACAACACAAACACACAGCAGGTGAAACGTCACCATGTTTCAGCAGCGACTGAGAAACACGCAGACCTCCGGTCCAGACCGGGAGACTTCAGACGGGGTTTGAGACCCAACATGGCGTTGAGCACAGGTGAGGCTGGGCTACCTGTGGGTCAAAGGTCAGGCTAGTTCCAGAAGTCAGGTGGTGACTGAGTGAATCTGTGAACGTGTTAGTATCAAGGAAAGAAGGAAAGGAGCAGGTCTCTCAGTGTCTATCAGAAACTGTTACCTCACTGCCACACAGCAGACGCAGGCAGATGGACGCAGCTGGCTTGGTGTTGGACAGTTTGTGGTTATTGTGTCCACGCGTTCAGCAGCAGCACTCTGTGGGTGGCTGATGGCAGCTGGACTAGTTTCACTTATCAGAGGGAAAAACTTCAACCATTTACTGAACACATCAACAACAACAAGACCGGATTTCAGTTTAGACCGTCCTGGGAGAAGTTGGAGAACCCCTTTGGAAACCCAGTCTCTCTGTCCCACCATCCCCCTTTAGCTTAATAAGGAAGTAGGTTCTTTGGTAGGAAAGGGCTTGACATCAGGGCCCTGCCATACTTTACCTGAGACTTTCAGTACCAGGATCTACGTTTGAAGGAACTAAGAGGAAGTGGCGGCAGAGGACGCTGGCGAGGCCGGTCAGCTCACAGAGCGCTCTGGTCCCACAGACCTCTGCAGCCAACGCAGCAGAAACTCCAGCAATGTTCTCCTGCAGCGATTCTGTCTTTCCATGCTGAGTAATGTTGAAACATTTCAACTTAATAGCTGGTGAGAGTCACGTAGAACATAACGTTGGAGCAGTATCGTGCGGCGTTGCTATGACTACCAGCTACATTGAGGGGGTAACATCTGCAATGGGAAACAGAGGACGGCGGCCAGAAGAGATCTGAGATGAGTGGAGTTGAGCTGCTACCAGCAATGGAGAAACGCAATAGCTTGCTTTTGTTGTTTGGGTCATACATTTGTTGGGAAATGATATGTGAGGAGGAAAATGTTGTGTGTTAACTGGTGATGTAAAATAACTTATTTCTGGGGACAATAAAGTCTAACAGGTGGACAACCTGCTTGACCCAAAGTCAGAAGACAGCCTGAACATCCTAGAACAATGCTCCACACCTCAAATCACTCCAGTAGATGGACAAGATTCCCGCTGATGTGGCTGCAGTACGGCCTCACATCACATCTAAAGAACATGTCCACACATCACAGGAAGTGCTGTTATCTTAATGTCTGCTGGTTTATTAAATATGAAATAAGAAAACAATCAGCTCTCCTGCTGTAAACTTTGTTTTATACACAGACAACAGGTGTGACAGCAGAACGGATCATAAACAACAAAGAAGCAGAACAAACCGCAAAACAGCCTCAAACTGGATCTGTTAAATATCTAGATGTTATCTAAATGTGTCTTTGCTCTGTTGTTCTGATGGACTTTACAGACACTGTGACCTTCATTTCTTTAGCAGCAGCTTTGTATGCAAAGCACAAAGCATCAAACTGTATATAGAACTCAAGCAGGTCTTTGTTGTCACGCAGCTTTCAAAGGGACATTTTCTTACATCACCTGTTTTTCTGTATGGAAAGATTTTATAAGAAAACATGATGCTGGACTGGAGGTGTGCAGCATACTGCGGTTAAACCAGTTACAAGTCACTTCATTCACTTGGAAGTGGTCCGAGACCAAAGAAATATACCCCTTCAAGGTGGACCGGAGAGCGTTGGTTTGGTCCACTAGAGTTTGGGTCCGGTGTTCGACCCGCCCTTAGAAACAGTGTAAAACAGCTGTGAGTCATTTCCCCCTACAGAAACAGATTTTTCTGAATCTGAGCAGGAACGCCGTTCCCTCTCGACTGTTCCTCCCAGAACAGCGTTCCCGTGTGTTTCCCTCCATTTCCTCCTTTAAAGAGCTTTTCCCTGAAACCAGCTGCCTGCTGCTGCTGAAAACGACACTAATGAGGCTGAACTGCACAGGGAAAGTTGAGAGGATGTCAACAACAACAGCTTGGCCTTTTTGGACTGTGCCGTACACGTTACCCAACGCAAGGCCCACACAGGAGGGCCAACTCCTCAGGCCAAGACGCAGCAGTTTACCCACATCTGAAGGACAAGGGGAACTCTTTCAATGACAACTAGGTTCATGTTCTGGATAGGGAGGACAGATGGTTTGAAAGAGGAATGAAAGACGCCATTTAGGTAGAAGAACCATCTCTCAACAGGGGCCAAGTTTAAGACTTCACCCTGCTGTCCTTTCATCCCTTCAGAGGGACCACCTGAGGCCAAACCCTCACATTTGGCCACAGGTGAGAAAGCCGACAAGGGTCGATCAGATCTGGCCTCAGGTGACTCTAACGACCATAACAGCTGTTGTTACAGCAGCCAGGAGCCCTAACGACCCAAGTGGTCTCCATCACCATCACTTTGGTCTCTCTACCTTCAGTGGACAGACTTGTTTGTGGCGTGCCAGGTTTAGCACATTGTTTTGTCTGAATATGAAAAGTATCTCCAGGAACACGTCCGGAGGACAAAACAGACTCTGGTGAAGGAAACCCATTGTTGTGGTCCTGGGAATGCAAATGAATATGCAAAGTGTGACTAGCTGTCCCTTCTGAACCATCTCGTGCTGATGTGAGCTTATGTTACGCCCCAGCCTGAGGCAGCTCTGTGGGGCCGACAACACTGAACCAAACCAACCACAGAAAAACAGCCAAATCCATTTGATTTATTAAGATAAGACGTACAAACATCCAAGATACTAAATCAAGAAGAGCACAACGTCAAACAGAAAGTCCAGGCTGAGAGGCAGCAAGACCAGCAGTCCTGATTCAAAAAGCCCCCACATTCTGATGCTGGAGCTTTTAAAGACCTCCTTCCCAGCTCAGGTGGACCTCATTCTGCAGTCAGAAGTTGTCCACCCGGGGCAGAACTAGAGGACAGAAGAGGAAAGGGGACAAACAGCACAGAAACACATCCAGCTGTAACATCTGAGTTGAATTAGTTGGACATTAGAGTTGTTAGACATTGTGAATGTGCCCATGTTCATTTTTCTGCAATCTCATTTACTGTCCGCAGCCCTTCACTCCCCCTTGTCGTGAGACAGGAATTCTCCCATTTGTACTTCTATTCTGGGCATGAGTCTGCCAAGGGCCGCTCAAGTTGGTCGTAACATCCCTGTTGTCATATCGCACAGGCCTGCCAAGTCATACCATAAATCTGTGCACGCTAACACTGCAAACATTAATACTTTAATCATGATCCAGAACAAAACCTCTACTCTAGCTTCAGTGTCAGGTCCACAATCTCTGGAGGCAATATCACCTTCCATAGACATCTCTATCAGACACCATATTCCCATCTATTGGTCACCTCGCTCTCTCCCTGCTAAAGCAAGCAGGAGTAAATGTCAAAAACCTCCTTCCACTGAAATATTGTGGTGACACGACAGATTTGCCTTATTAAACGCTCGTTCTCTATCAAATAAGACCTTTATTGTAAATAATTATTTTACATCTCATCATTTGGATTTTTATTTGTAACAGAGACCTGGCTAAATGTCGGTGATCTCTGTCCTCCCCAGTGTAGCTTTCTAAACTCCCCAAGGACCATCGGTCGAGGAGGAGGCTTAGCTACTGTTTTAAAAACTGTATACTCCACCTTTGAGGTGCAAATTTTAAATATTAACATCCCTGCCCCAATCCTATGCGCACTGGTGTATAGGCCTCCTAAAACTAACAGTAACTTCATTAAAGAGTTTTCTGATCTCTTGACATTTATGGCTTCCCGCTCTGACAAACTGCTCATCATAGGGGATTTCAGTATTCATATCTGTTGCATCGAAACCGAGTTTTTACTTCTCGCTGATTCTTTCGGTCGAACACAGTCTGTATCAGGTCCAACTCATCAGAAGGGTCATTCACTTGATCTTGTATTATCATGCCGTTTTTCTGTCTCCAACGTTGAAATTACTGCTACTGGTGTCTCTGACCATCTCGTGGTTATGTTCAATTCCACTTTACCATGTCCCCTTCCCACCCCTATCCAGCCTCATTCCCTCGGCCGATCTATTAACCCAGACACAGCCGCACGCTTCTCCAACATCTTCGTGCACACTTATT